CGCACAAGTTCAGCTTAAGTGGAGGCTGTTCGTGATTGTATGCGCTCCTCTGTGGTGTCTTTTACACTTGTTAGGGGTAGGAAACTAGAATTACGAGGCTTTCAGCATCAGGAATGTAGTCTTACTGGGTGTTCAGACCGAAAACTGCACGGTGCCAAGACAATTGCAACAGGCTCTATTGTTAGTCTTGCTCTTGGTACCAGAGACACAATGTAATATGATCTAAAAATGCCAGTTTGAGTAGTAGATCCATGAGTTTGAAGGTTATCAGATGCAAACACACACACAGTGGTGTATAATACTGTGAAAGAATTTTACAACTCTGGAAAGCTGTTATGTGGCAGTTAATTTAGTCTAGATGATTTCTATATAAACAGTACAATTACCGTTTCACTTTACAAAGTAATCTACCAGAAATGTGCACTTGCATCTCTGACAGATGACAACATATTTTGGCAAACTCCTCCGTGTCTGCTTCACCATTGTGTCAATTGGCTGCGTAGAAATGAATGAGGTTGCTGGCTTTTTTCACACAGTGCTAATGTCTTAACATGACTGCATACTGTGTTCTTTAGTTGCGTCTCCCATTATACACTTTCCTCTAGCTCGTTCTCATATTATCCATTGGCCCCTTTCCCCTCTGGTGCTTCAGTTTTCTCTTTCTGTCTGTTTTTCTTACCCTTTCTTTCTCTCTTTTATAGCACCGCATTAACTTTCTCTGTTTCCCTTCTAACAATGTCCCTCATTGTTGAGCAGGAGGTTGTCAAGCATGATGTCAGGGATTAAGGCACACAGGCAGACAGACAGAAAGAAACACAGTCAGACACTCTACACTGTTCCATTACTGACCAAATCCTCACTACAGAGGCCTTTTAGGGCCACTCTTCATGGCAGACAAGGCACTGGTTTGAGAACATTGAGTTCCCTGATTTCAGAGTGCCATTGTCCTCATCTTTCTGCTGAAGCTAAACTGTGTTGAGCCCGGCAGTAACAGGACCACCTCTGCTTAAAAGCTGTCTGCGCTCTGTTTCTGTACTATTTCTGTTTTACTTTTAGACTCATTATATTCTACATTACGCAGTGCCTATGGTTTTTACATTCACTCAGTTTGCTTTATAGCTGCAACATTTAGTAGATTAATTGATGAGTTGTCAGCTATTAGATTAATCACCAGATATTATGATAATCGGTTGATTGTCTAGAGTCATTTTTTAAAGAAGAAATGTCCAAATTCTCTGATTTCAGTTTCTCAAATGTGAATATTTTATGGTTTCTGAACCGAATGTCTTTGGGTTGCAGATAAAACAAGACCTCTGAGGCCTTGGCCTTTGGGAAACCGCCTCAACACGTTTCACCATTTTCTGACTTCTCTTCATGTTTTGCACGACTTTATATTTTAATCAATAATAAAAATAATCGTTAGTTGCAGCCCTAGTCTGCTGACAACAAAACTATCTGGTGTGTTGCACCTTTTCTGATTTCCGTAGTAAAGGCCCTGACGCAATACAAGAATTTCAGATCCAATTCTGGGATTTTCTCTAGCTTTTAAAGAGGCTTAGGACCTAGCAGTGCCAGTTCAGTTGGTTTTGGAAAGAATAGAGGCTCAAGAATGCCTTTAGAGGACTCAAGGTTGAAAGTCCTTTCTTTGTTTTTGCTGTCCAATATGTTAAATATGCCAAACCAAAGATAAAACTTATATGGCAGTAAGAGAAAAAATAATTTTAGAAGTGGAAAAGGTAAAAGAAATGTGCTGGTATAGGTGGGGGAGGTGCTGTTTAAATCCTTAAATCCTTTTAGTTGAGTTCATATGTGCGTCTATCCCAATAAAGGCGGTGGCAGATTAATGGCCTGGATCCACTAGGCCAAGCAATATCTGGTTCTCACTGTAGATGAAACTGGGATCTATATGATGTGAACCCAGGTAGTGCTAGTGAACTGACTGGGGGAGGTAGCTTTGAGTTTGACTTTTTATTTTTCAGCCCTGATATATGTGAAAGAATCACTGAGCTGTCATCCTGATAAAATGCTGTGATGCTGTGACTTGGCTTAAGTGAAAGCTTCCTCCGTGTTGGCAGAGCCGTCTGTGCTGCCTACTCCTGTGTACCAGTGAGTCATACAAATGTATTGGTCAAATCTGAACTACTAGAAACGTTGTGCCAAGAAAACATGTCGAAATAGCTTGTAGCTTGCAGGTGTAAGCAAAGTGAAGACTTTGACCAAAAAATGAAGAGGAGGGCAGTTAAGGGCCATTTAAGGCCGTCACCTCAGCGCTGCACTTTACAAAAGCTGATAGATTGAATTCTTTGTTTTCTGTGTAGCTCAGTAGCTTCTGCAAACCACCAACACTACTGAGGTTTCAGTCCTCTTCTGAGCTACACACTGTAAAAATGTATGTATGCAACCTTACACACATGAAATTATATGTACTGCATTACATAAGGAGCTTTAAAAGACAGTTGGCTACAAGTGTGTGGCAGTCAGCCCCTATATGACCTTTAATAATACATTTCAAAGAGCGTTCAGCACTGAGCTGAACACCAAAGAAACATCCATTAAAAGCTGTAACTCTGTAAATCATCGCTGGTCCACCAAACGCACTAAAAACATTTAGTGACTTAAAAGGTCTTGACAAGGATTTAGGTTTTTTCAACGAAAAATTTAAAAGCTAAAGTTAATTCAAGTATCAGGATGAGCTTGTTTTGGTGAGAGAGACACAGATACCTGCAGAGAAATAAATGTATTATATACATATATTAAGGAATAGATACAATATCTATCTTAACTGAGTGTTTTTCCCTCAATGACGATCCGTATTCCTGCTCCTCTTTACTCCTCTGCTCCTCCTGACCTAGAGGTGATGCTGACAACCTAAGTAGGACGGATGGCTTGTGTAACGCACAGCGTAAGGATAAATGAAAGAAAAGGAAGGGCACAGAAAGAAAGGGTGACGGAGTGTGTTCGAGCAGAAAAGCACGAATGAGAGAGTTGCTCCAGAAGAGGATTGGGCATTAAATTTATCAAAGCTCAAGCAGTTGCATGTGTTTTTTTTTAATATATATTAACGTGTGTAATGCTGCAGAATGTGTGTAGCAGGGATGGGAAACATGGCTATCAGTGTTGTTAAGTATTGATGAAATGGCTTCTCAAAAGAATCAGTCTAATTAAAACTATAATTTAGACTTACCAGTCCTGAATGTATGTGCTCGGATTTGTCATTAAATATTATTGAGCACTGTAGCAATGTTTTGGACAAATCGAAATACAAATTATAAAGTCAGACCACTCCTATAAACTCCCAAAAAGCTTTGTCAAGATACAGCACTAGCTTTAGCTTTCAACATTTATAAAATTAAAAAAGACTTTATTATTTATATACTTATTTACTACATTATAATTTAAGAACACAACTAAAATGATTGTGTATCTCTAGCAAATGCATGTTTCCTTCTTCCTCACTCCCTCTCATTTTCCCTCTTGGATCTTTTGGAGCAGTCTCTAAAGTAGAGCTATGTTTTTAATATTTTACCACATGGCCACATTCCCATGGAGACCAAAGTAGACGGGGACAACCTCAAAGAACAGTTTCCCTCTTCATCCACACTTGGACACACCAACACACATTAATATTCACCCTTTCATCACATATCACATATACTCTAACACACACACACACACACTGGCACAGCT